TAATTTTTACATTATGTATTTGGAGAAGAGCACAGTTTCCTCTCATTATTTTCAAACTATGCAGGAGTAATTATAGGATTAAGATGCTTATGTGGGCTTCCATTCCTACTCGGACTTGTAGTGTTTAAATGGATAAGGCGACACTTATCAATGGACGACACCCTTGAAGATTTCTTACAACATCAAAATAACCTCATGCCAATAAAATACACCTATTCCGAGATCAAGAAGATGACGAACAATTTCAAGGACAAATTAGGTGAAGGAGGTTATGGAACTGTCTTTAAAGGAAAGCTTCGAAGTGGTCCTTTTGTTGCGGTAAAGATGATGGCAAATTCAGTGGTTAATGATAAAGAATTTATCAGTGAAGTTGCAACAATTGGAAGGATTCACCAAGTAAATGTCGTGCAACCTGTTGGATTCTGCATTGAAGGTGCAAAACGAGCCTTGGTATATGAGTATATGACTCGTGGTTCTCTAGATAAGTACGTATTTTCACAGGACGGTACTATTCTCTTGAGTTATAAAAAGTTGTTTGAAATTTCGCTTGGAGTGGCTCGTGGAATTGACTATCTACATAGGGGTTGTCACATGCAAATTTTACATTTTGACATCAAACCTCATAACATTCTTCTTGATGAAAACTTCGACCCAAAAATTTCTGACTTTGGGCTTGCGAAACTGTACTCAAGGGACGACAGCGTCATGACTCTGACAGCTGCAAGGGGAACAATGGGTTACATGGCTCCAGAACTGATTTATAAAAACATTGGGAGAGTCTCGCATAAAGCTGACATTTATAGTTTTGGGATGCTACTGATGGAAATGGTAGGAAGAAGGAAAACTCTGAATCCATTTGCTGATAGCGTAAGCCAAATATACTTCCCCTCGTGGATTTATGACCAGTTGAATGAGGGGAACGATTTGGTAGTCCAAGATGCCACTGAGGAAGAGACGAAGATGACAAAGAAGATGATCTTAGTAGCTTTGTGGTGCATACAGATGAATCCCGTGGATCGTCCTTCCATGAACAGAGTTCTTGAAATGCTGAGGGCGATGCTGATCTCGTGCTGATGCCCCAGAAGCCTTTCCTAGTTCCATTTGAGAAAAATAAGGATGATGAAATAAACACATCTCCTACAGAAGCACCAATACTGTCTGGTGATACTATAGATTATGCTAAGGGATCAACTACTTGTGAACTAAGAAATTGGTTGTCCGAATAAAATATGGAATAATTTGTCTTTTAGAAAAGACATTAAGAAATGTAGCATCCTTTTGTAGAGACAAACAATTTTGCTAATAAGAGACGAGATGTATCTTATTAGAAAAGGCATTTCGGCAGATTTATGTCTCTTAAACATATACATTTCTACTAGCAAAAGCACAAAAATCATGGAAAATTTATTGTAAGTCCATTCTGGAAAATAAACTTGACTTTTGTTCTGCTCACCAACATCATTTTTTTTTCAACCCTCCAACAATTTCAAGAAGCAACATCCCAAAACTATAAAAATCCGATTTACAGGACACAAAACCAACATTTCTCGGGAAAAGGCATTTCGGCAGATTTTTGTCTCTTAAACATATATATTTCGACTAGCAAGAGCACAAAAGTCATGGAAAATTTATTGTAAGTCTATTCAGGAAAATAAACTTGAGTTCTGTCCTGCCCACCAACATCATCCTTTTTCAACCCTCCAACAATTTCAAGAAGCAACATCCCAAAACTATAAAAATCCGATTTACAGGACTCAAATCCAACATTTCTCGGGAAAAGGCATTTCGGCAGATTTTTGCCTCTTAAACATATACATTTCTACTAGCAAAAGCACAAAAATCATGGAAAATTTATTGTAAGTCCATTCAGAAAAATAAACTTGACTTCTGTCCTGCCCACCAACATCATCTTTTTTCAACCCTCCAACAATTTCAAGAAGCAACATCCCAAAACTATAAAAATCCGATTTACAGGACTCAAATCCAACATTTCTCGGGAAAAGGCATTTCGGCAGATTTTTATCTCTTAAACATATACATTTCTACTAGCAAAAGCACAAAAATCATGGAAAATTTATTGTAAGTCCATTCAGAGAAATAAACTTGACTTCTGTCCTGTCCACCAACATCATCTTTTTTCAACCCTCCAACAATTTCAAGAAGCAACATCCCAAAACTATAAAAATCCAATTTATAGGACACAAATCCAACATTTCTCGAGAAAACATTGCTGCAGTCAATTATATTCAAGAAAAAGTTTTAGTCCAACAAAATATTTAATTAACATCACTTGTCATGTGTGAAAATGTTGTCTGCTGGGGCCTACAGTATGATTTTTCAATTTCAAAGCTCTAGTTTTATGTATGTACATTGCACGTTTTATGTATACGATAAAAAAATTTATTTTTTGTGCCTTCGATATATTGGAGTTGATATTTATGTGCATCGAAAGAGAGTTAAAGACACTATTTTTTTCATTTGTGATTTCGATAGTGGTTAATTTTTACGTTTTGAATTAGAACATCCCATCTGATCATGTACTAAAGTCATGAAAACAAAAGAAAAAACATATGCCCAAATGTTTTAATGTCTTACTCATAACCAAGCCAACATAAAGGAAGACGATCACCCTTCTACTTGTGATATGAAATCTTAAATGCTATTAGGCCAATATATTTCTAGCTGCAAATACTTGATAGATTTCGTGAAAGTAAGAAATTGTTGCATCAACATATTTAGAAGTTTAAGCTGTTCAATATTTGAGAATGTTCACTTTTTCGATATTTCAAATGACAGTTATATTACTCTAAAACACTTTATGAGTGAATATTATTTGAAACTCCACCAAACTCGCTGGTCGTCAACCTTGAGGCCTTATTTGGGAATTGACGAAGACGGTGCCTTGACACCATTCTTTAAACCTTTGTTATCGTTGCATCTACTGAGCAAGTTATCGATTTTTGTCTAAATTGTTGGGTTTGAGTTACTTTTTTTGTGGGGGGTATGATTTGAACATATCCAAAACGTGTCTTTGATAATTAATAGCACCCATCAACATGAACAATCTCCATAGACCTTTTAGAACATGGACAAAAATAAAATGACGGAATTCCATCGGTTTTTATTTTTATTTTTTGGTCCTTTGAATAGGCTGTAGATTTTTATTTAAAAGTAAGTACATGCTGAATTAACTCGTTTAAAATATTTTTTAATATTTGGACCCTGTTTGAGCTCCATTTTTCTTAAAACTCATTTTGAACCAAGCACTCTCTCATAAAATAATTTTTCACTTAAATTCAAAAATTCTCTCTACTTTTAACTACATATTTTTTAAAAATCATTATTTCAAAATGCATTTTCACCCCAAAAAAATGAGTCTCAAACAGGGACCTTATGTTTACACTATGTTAATTGTTAACAAGATTTTTTTTTTATTTTTTTAATTAAAAGTTTGCCGTGTGACATTGAATAGGTAAAGTTGCACCATTGGTTATCAATATATCAACCTATCACCTAATATACTTTTTGAAAGTAAAGTTCCCAGCCTTCCAATTTTGTTGCACGGTTGGCCGCTGTGAATTCTATCCAATTTTCCATTAAAAAGCAATTATACTATTATTTCTCATCACAAAATATAAAATGAAACTATAAAAAGAAAAAGGAATATAAGAAAAGAAGAATTATTTTCCATCGTCCTTTCTTGATATCAAGGGAGGACCCAGAATTTTTTTTTGTTGCGGCTAATATTTGTAAAGGTGAAAAAATAACAACATTATACCGCAAACATTATACTAGAAATGAAATACCTTATAATGTATACATTCTATATATATAATTTTATAATCTCAGGCAGTAGACTTATTCAAATAAAAATAAAAACATGCATTAAAAAAATCATCAGTAGTGTGATACATAAAAACGGACTCATTCACTGCTTCAATTTCATGATTTTGCATAGCAAAATTAAGAGGGTTGTGTCCTCTAATAAGAAGGAAATACAAATTCATTATCTTTGTTTAATCAGCTTAAGCTTTTGATCCTCCGTTTTTTTTTTTCTTTTTTTTATTGACAACTTAGTGCTCACTACCACACCTCCCATTCATCACTTCTATAAGCCCTCTCAATCCTCTCCAAACGGAGTATAATCTCCAAAATCCATTATGAAACCCATAAAATTTCGCAAATTTCATACAAGAATTAGAAAACTAACATTAGAAAAAACTAAAGAGTTTACTCAACGTTAACAGAGCCTTCTCTTCGAAATTTCTTTGGTGGAAATTGGTGGTTTCGCTTTTCAAGTGCCGTTTAGATCCGCCCCTACCTGATATCCACCAACATGCATCCCCATTCTCTGTTGCTCCCACGCCAACCTACCAGTTTTGATCCCTCCTTAACGGTTCTTTGTTTATGTAGGACATCCGTTTGTAATTTTGGACTAGATTCCTTTTTTGGGACTAATGTGGCTCATGAATTAAAAGTTAAGGAACTAAAGAAAATTTGGGGGACGTTTTTCCTGCAGTGTACAGTTTGGGGACCATTAAACTGATTATAATCACCTACTACTGAACATGAATGAACATATCTAAATCTTTTCTGCAAAAAAAAAAATGTAAGTTTTCTGTTCAATTATTATATATTTTCAAAAGATACGTTTATTTACCAAACCTATAACTCTGTTGACCAAATCTGCATCAGAATGAAAATTGGATTATGATAATGAAATAATATCACCACTGTTAACCATTTTATCCAAAACTCGTTAAATAAGACATCCATTTAAATGTTGCTTTTAATGCATCTCTTCACGTGTAAGCCAAATTCCTTCAAGGGCCGACACTGAAAATTTTGTAACATAAGATCAATCCAGACAAATAGGATCAGTTTATAATCTATATGTAAGAAAGCATTTCAATACGTGCATTCCCTTCTAACAAATTAAAAATTTTAGATTAGATGGTTAATAACTATGAAACGTCGACAGTTTAAATTATAGTTAAAAATAATAACTAAAAATGCTCATTCTACTAGAATTCCCCCATATATTCATTTCCGTCAAAACATTCAAAAAACAATGACTGTACATTATTTGTTTAATCTGGCACAGTAGCCAAATTTAAGCACCCAACACTTGCAAATCTATAAACACCAGAATATAACTATCAGAATCCTAACGCCTAAATCCCGACTAGAACATTTCTACCATGAAATTTTCTATCGATCTTTCTGTCAGTTCTGCTTCTATCCTTCATTATTGGACAGATGATTAGTCTATGGCGTGTCCTTCCCCTGCTTCAGACAACATTGTATGAAGTGAAACTAAGGCCGACTACATCATAACTGCTCGTCTGTTGATATCTTGTTGTGTCTTTATCGATTCTTCCTGTCTCTCTGTGCTAATTTCGACATCATTCTCGTCTTTCATTAGGTAATTGTCGACTTGTGCAGCTGCTTGTCGACCTTCGGAAATTGCCCACACGACCAGAGATTGACCGCGGCGGCAATCCCCGGCGGCAAAAATCCCGTCCACATTGGTTGAGAAGCGTCCGTACTCAGCTTTGAGGTTCGACCTATTGTCTCTCTCCAAGCCCAGTTTTTCGGGTAGAGTCTGCAAAAACCAAGGAAGATGAGTAAGCCAGCTGAGAATTTCACATCGATTCAGAGCATGTTTATGTGAGTCTACTTATTTTCAACTCGGAACAAATGAAATAATTATTTATTTTAAACCTTACTTCTTTATTTACTTCTGAGTATCCGCCAAGTAAAGGAAGGAAAAGAGAAGCAAATACGGAGAGGATACAGAATTAATGACATTGTTGTCAATGAACAGGAGCAAATTCAAGCCGAAGTTCAGAATACTAACCGACTCAGGCCCCAGGAATCCCATGGCTAGTAAGACTAGATCAGCTTCAATGATCTCCTCACTGCCTTCAACTTCTTTAAATGAAAACTTCCCACTTGCATCCTTCTCCCAATGGACACGCACAAGCTCCAGTCCTTTCACCACTCCATTCTCATCTCCAACAAAACGCTTCGTCATAACCTCATAAGATCTAGGATCCTTGCCAAACTTCGAAGCAGCTTCTTGATGCCCATAATCTACACGGAATATGCGGGGCCACTGCCAACATTCAACGGATAGAAAATTAAAGAATGATGTCAAGAAAATTTAATCCGGAAGGGAAGAGCAGACAAAATTTATATTTTATTTTCTTGATCTTGGTAAAATTATATTTATCTTCCAAAATTCAGCATCTGCATTTAAAAGTAAGGAATCAATTACAATAAGTCATCGTATGCTTAGATTAAATAAATATACCATGCACCACATAGGTGATAACATAAAACCAAAAATAAAGCATTACATTTTAGCCAAGACGTACAAAAATTGGAATAAACTCTTAAAGTTAGATGTGAGCATGTATGGCAAAGCGCAAAACTTACTTTTTAAAGTATATTATTGTTTCCATACAAGCTTCGATAACATTTTTTATTCTTAGTTATAAGTAAAAAATGTACTTATTTTGACAGTAATTACATTTTTATTCCCATCTTTGACCAACCCAAAGTCATTTGTTCTAAAACTTAATTATTTACTTGATTAACCTTTTTAAGCTTCACCAAACATGCACTTTGTTCCCTTGAATAAGAACACGCAGATTATCATAAAGCTACTGGCTATGGTTAAAAATAGAGTCTGGTCCAACCTGAGGCCAAGGGTTTCCAGGAGCTCGGGTTCGTGGTGGCTCAGGGAGAAGCTCTAGATTTACGATGCTGCTGCAACCATGTCTGATAGATGTTCCAATACAATCTGTACCGGTATCACCCCCACCAATTACCACTACCTTCTTACCCTTGGCAGAGATATACTTACCATCCTTGAGATTGCTATCAAGCAAGCTTTTTGTATTAGCATGAAGAAACTCCATTGCAAAATGTACTCCAGACAGTTCTCGTCCAGGAACAAGGAGGTTCCTGCCAAATCAGTCCAGAATATCTAGTAAGATGACTGATTGACTTTGTTAAGCTATGCAACAAGAGTTGCCTGAAAATCATCATTGCTCACCTTGGATTTGTGGCTCCTACAGCCAAAACAATAGCATCATGATCCTCACGAAGCTGATCGAGCGAGTATGCAGGATCCTTTCCAACATTAGCATTTACCACAAAGTTTACACCTTCCTTCTCCATGAGGTTAACCCGTCTCTGGACGATATCGACTTTATCGGCCTTCATGTTAGGCACCCCATACATCATTAGACCACCAATTCTGTCGGAACGCTCAAAAACAGTCACAGTATGACCCATTTTATTTAACTGGTCAGCAGCAGCTAAACCGGCAGGCCCACTTCCAATAATGGCAACTTTTTTCCTGGATAATAGGGAACATAATTAGGATCTCATTGCTACAAATCAAAGATATACATCACATATGCCCCCACACAATCAAGTGAAGTACAAAACAATATATGGAAAACATACTCGGTTCTCTTCAGGGGAGGTCGTGGCACCATCCATCCCTCCTCAAAAGCTTTGTCTATTATAGCACACTCCATACTTTTGATAGAGACGGGATTTTCGATAATTCCAAGGACACAAGCCCCTTCACAAGGTGCAGGGCATACCCGGCCCGTGAACTCAGGGAAGTTATTGGTCTCCAAGAGCCTATCTAACGCTTCACGCCATCTATTTTGGTACACCAACTCATTGAATTCGGGAATTTTATTTCCAAGTGGGCATCCAGAATGCTCCTGTAATTTTATATGACAGATGTATCCCAAGCAACAGAAGTTAGGATTCACATAGATGTATACAATCCTACTGACAAGAAGTCTTGCTATAATCTTTCTTACCTGATGACAAAAAGGAGTGCCACAGTCCATACAACGAGCAGATTGTGTCTTCAAAAGTGGGCCCGGTTTTAATTCTTCCATGACTTCTTTCCAGTCATTCATCCGAATATTAGGATCTCTGTACGAAATGCTCTCTCGCTCATAGGCAACGAAACCTCGGTGCTTCACAGCATCTGGAATCTTAGTAGGTCTCTTAGATTGTTTATCCTCCTCTGTCTGTTGTTTTCAAAAATTCATGTAAGAGCAGACAAAAAAAAACATGAAAAAGAATGAAATTCCAGAACCAACCACACAAGACGTTCTAATGCCATTCACTATATATTAACTACCATCATACTACCATCTATACATAAGTCGTCATACTGATCCAGTACATACATTAACGTCCTTCGAAAGTAACCATACATTTTCTATAACGCGCTTCATATTAATGAGCACATATAATTTGTTGATAGATTCTTTGGTATATAGCAGTAGAACAAGTTCAGGAGGGGTAGACCAAAACTAAGATGGCCTTTTTTGGTCCCTAAACATATCCAGCAATAAACACATTGGAGTGGGGGAAAAGATTCTTGTAGCGGACTCCAAAGCCCAAACATATTGGGAACAAGGCTTAGTTTGTTTTTGTAGTATTCTTTAGTTTCAATCATTAGTTACTGCACCAAGCATGATGCTCTTTCATCCAAAAATCTATTACTATTGATGAAAAGTGCAAACAATATAGTTGCATAACGAACAGCAGCAGAAGATAATTACCGAACTGTCTTTTCTGTTCAATGATGTAGCTGCCAGCTTCTTAAGCTCTTCAAAAGCATCTTTCTCCAACTCTTCCTCTTCCTGCACCTCAACTTCTTTGGCAGCACGATCGGCAGCTGCTTTTGCAGATTCTTTCTCTTGTGTGATTGCTAGAATTCGTTTGTAATCTCGGGGGAAAACCTTTACAAATTTAGGCAAGAGAGTCTCAAAATCGGCAAGCACTTCTTTAGCTAATTGACTGTTAGTGTGACGCAGATGCTGTTGTATCATCATTCTGAGTGTCATAACGTCGTCATCTTCTACTGGATCAAGATCTACCAACTCAAGGTTGCATTGCGATCGGAACTTGGAATCCACATCGAGAACATAGGCAATGCCCCCACTCATTCCAGCAGCAAAGTTCCTACCTGTCTTTCCCAGCACAACAACAATTCCACCAGTCATGTACTCACATCCGTGATCACCCACACCTTCCACAACTGCTTTGGCCCCACTATTGCGAACACAAAATCTTTCTGCGGCCATCCCATTAAAATATGCCTCCCCATTAGTAGCTCCGTAAAGAGCTACATTTCCAATTATTATGTTTTCCTTGGGGTCAAAATTGCTTCCTTTCGGAGGATAAACAATAACTTTTCCACCTGATAACCCTTTGCCAACATAGTCGTTGCTGTCACCTTCAAGTTCCAATGTAATGCCAGGACACAGAAAAGCTCCAAGACTTTGGCCCGCACTTCCGCTGAGTTTGACATGAATTGTATTGTGAGGAAGTCCCGACAAGTGGTAGTGCTTACTGACTTCATGGCTTAGCATGGTTCCAACAGCCCGATTTATATTGCAGATAGGTGACTCAATGTACACAGGGAGTGTTTTCTCTAAAGCAGGTCTGCACAAAGCTATTAGTTCGTTATCCAGAGCCATGTCCAAACCATGATCCTGTTTCTGCACACAATACTGAGCAGCTTCTGGACGAATATCAGCAGCTGGTCGCAGTAACAAGGACAGATCAATATTCTTTAGCTTCTCATTGTTCTTGGCCAAATCTTTATCCAATTCAAGCATGTCTGAACGGCCAACCATTTCGTTAATTGTTCGAAACCCAAGTTGAGACATTATTTCCCTCAGCTCTTCCGCCAGCATGAAGAAAAAATTTATAACGTGTTCTGGCTCACCGGCAAACTTTTCTCTGAGAACTGGATCCTGGGTGGCAATCCCTACTGGACAAGTGTTTTTGTGGCACTTCCGCATCATGATGCAGCCAAGCGTAATAAGAGGAGCAGTACTAAAACCAAACTCCTCTGCACCAAGAAGTGCAGCTATGGCCACATCTCTCCCGGTTTTTAGTTGACCATCCGTCTGAAGAACAGTTCGACCCCGAAGGTCATTAGCAACTAGGGTTTGATGGGTCTCTGCAAGACCAAGTTCCCATGGAACGCCAGCGCTCTTGATACCAGTCCATCTTGAGGCCCCTGTACCTCCATCATGACCAGAGATTAGAACATGATCAGCGTGACCCTTGACAACGCCACTAGCAATAACTCCAACACCAGCCTCAGAAACCAACTTCACACTTATACGAGCCCCTGGATTGGCATTCTGCACAATTAAATCAACAAAAAAATATATTAAAAAGGAAGAGAAAATGAAGAAGTCATACATCATATCTCCAAAAAAATGATGGATATATATTTGCCCCAATGTTCAAGCACCCATAAAGGAGTTCGACAGATCAAAGATGATCATATAAATGGTAGTAGAAAAAATTACCTTGAGGTCATGAATCAATTGAGCAAGATCTTCAATTGAATAGATATCATGATGGGGAGGAGGGCTAATTAGACCCACACCAGCAGTTGAGTTCCTAGTGACAGCAATGTCCCCAATGACCTTGTGGCCTGGAAGTTCACCACCTTCTCCCGGCTTTGCTCCCTGCAACAAGGAATCTTAAGTTAACAATATAGTCGCCCTTCAAAGAGAAAACAATCTCCGGTTAACAGTCATCTCACCAAGCCAAATGCAGGTTTCAAATATAGATACAAACACACCCAAAAGGTACTTTGCAGACACAGCAGACTCGGTACATGAACATGGATTCATAAATATAAAAAACCCATGTTTCAACAGGAATACAGGGTAAAATGAAAACATGAACAAGAATATACATCAATATAGGCTGGTTGAACAATCTTCAAATTAAACATGAGACCCACAGAAAGGCATACCTGAGCCATTTTTATCTGTAATTCATCAGCATTCGTAAGGTAATAACTTGAAACTCCAAATCTTCCACTCGCTACCTGCTTAATTGCACTCCTCTTTGGATTTCTTGAACCATCAGGAAGAGGCTCCATACGAGATGGTTGTTCACCACCTTCACCTGCGAAAGAGAAATAAAAAGGTACATCAGTAAGCTTTTTAGGAACATTTAAGCCTTTGTCTGTCAAACATTAGAAGTTACTAAAAAGTTCATTTGCTATCTAGTCAAAGTCAAACATTAATTTCAAGCATACATTCATAACTACTACACATTTCGAGGATCTCAATATTATTCCCCTAAAAAGTTACTAATAATTTTACCGACTCACTGAATTTCTTAGAAAATTAAATTACAAAAATAAAAAATTCTGGACAGAACAAAATTATTCAAACTTCTCAAGGAAACATTATCAAATCACACTTCCACAAACACAATAAAGGAAAGCTAGTGGATTTGTATAATTAACATGTTTATACCCCAGCAATCTATGATTCTTGAGGAAGATGCTAAAAGGATTTAACCCAAATATTGAATTTTTATTTTTTTTTCCACGACTAATACTTCCACTATACCACATCCCCAGGGGGAGGGGAAAAAGGAACCTTAAAGCAGTAGTCAATAAGACAATAACATACCTGTATTTGACTTTCCCCCTAGCTTGTTCATGGCAATTGCTAAAGTTGTGTGTGCTTCCAGTGATATAGATCCGTAGCTCATGGCTCCAGTACAAAAACGTTTTACAATCTCACTGGCAGGTTCTACTTCTTCCAAAGGAACCTTTGCTTCAGTCCCTTTAAATTTAAGAAGACCCCTTAAATTGCAGGACTTGTTCAATTCTTGAATGCGTTTAGAATACTCTTTGTAGGCAGCCACACTGTTAGTTCTGGCAGCATCTTGCAATTTTGCTATGGCAAGGGGATCGTTAAGATGAATCTCACCATCTTTTCTCCAATGATAATCTCCGGGATTTGGAAGCGCTACAGCCTCTGCACTTCCAGGAGGTAATGTGCGTGTTGGAAAAGCAAGACCATGCAACTGAAGCGCATCATGTGCAAGCGCCTGAAAAGTGGCACCTTCAACTCTGCTTGGAGTTCCATTGAAGCATCTTTCCATTACTTCTGAGGAGAGGCCTACAGCCTCAAATATCTGAGCACCCTTGTACGAGGCCAAAGTTGATATCCCCATCTTCGCAAGGACCTTCATCATACCATAGTTGCTTGCTTTGAAGTATTTCTTGACCAGCTCATCCTTTGAGTGGAACTCACCATTGGCTTTAGGAGGAATTTTTCCATCATGTTGCAGTCTCCAAATGGCTTCTATAGCCAAATAAGGGCAAATAGCGTCTACCCCAAATCCCACGAGTGTACAAAAATGGTGTACTTCACGGGGCTCAGCAGATTCAACGATCAATGCAACCCGAGTTCGCTCAAGCTTCTTAACTAAATGATGATGTACAGCACCAACGGCCAACAGGGAGCTCACAGCAACACGCTTAGATGAGAAGGCTACAAATATCAGAAAAGCATATACATTAACTGCATATATATGTGCGTGAACAGCAACAATAAACTAAGCATTCTTGATAGAACATTTCAAAAATCTATAAGGGGTACCTCTGTCAGAGAGCACAAGTGTTGTGTAACCCTCCTTAATAGCATTGTGTGCTTCAGAACATATCCTATCCAAGGTCTCCTCCAAACCATTCCTGCCCCGATCCTTCGAGTAAGTGATATCGAGAACTTTGCTTTGCCAGCCTCTGTAGTTCATCTTCTTAATTGCTTCCATCTCTTCAATGGATAAAAGAGGCCCTTTGAGTGACAGGCGGTGACACTGCTCTTCTGTGGTCTCTGTGAGATCACCTTCTGGACCAACCATGCATTGCATAGAAGTAACAATCTTTTCACGGATTGGATCGATAGGAGGATTTGTGACTTGAGCGAACATCTGTTTGAAATACTCAAATGTGAGCTTCTCTCTGTCAGACATCACAGCCAATGGAGCATCATTTCCCATTGAACCGAGGGCCTCAATGCCATCCTTCGCCATGGGTAATAACAGCATCTCCAAGGCTTCAGTGGTGTAACTGTATGGGGAGGCGAAAAAGTATATTTATTTCCAAGCAGGAGTGTAACAGCCGTAACAATTTTAAGAGCTGACAAGGTTCAGAACTTCATACCCGAAAGCCTTTAAAGGTACCAATAAACCATGGATACCCATGTTTTCCATGTCATCATCAGAAGATGCCTAAAATTGCCGCAACTTAACTATCAGCATAGGGAAAGGGAGAAAAGAATGGGTGGTGATGAATAAGATGATAAACTTACTGGTAAAACTCCTTGTATGGGTGGAGGAACCCTGACAGATTCCTGAATAGATTCAACTATGTCTTTCAATTCCAGCTTTTGCCTTTCTAGCCATTTCCCATAAGGTCTTGCAAGTGAATATTGCTGCTTCAAGGCATCATCATCCACAACAACATGCTTCTCAAAGTCTACAAGGAGCATCATGCCAGGATTAAGTCTTCCTTTCTTGCTGACATCTTCAGGTGGAATATCAACTACTCCAACTTCACTTGCCATGATAACTCGGCCACTATGTGTTATATAAAAACGACCTGGTCGCAATCCATTTCGATCCAAGGTTGCTCCAAGATATCGTCCATCAGTAACTGCAAAAAAATGCTATTAAGCATCAAAGATTGTGCAATCATATGACGTCAAGTTTAAAAAGATATCGTTAAAAACTGTACATGATACGAGAGCAGGGCCATCCCATGGTTCCATAAGGGCTGAGAAGTACTCATATAAAGCCTTTCGATGAGGGTCCATGTTCTTATCGTTTTGCCAAGCTTCGGGAATCATCATCATTATAGCCTCGGGAAGACTTCTGCCAGCTCTGACCAAAAGCTCGAGTACCCCATCAAATGCTCCTGATGTATGAACAAATTCAGATATTTGCAAAAATATGACAATTAAATTGTGAATATTTAAGCATCAGCATTTGTAGCATTGCTAGCTATTTCTTGTTACCAATATGGACTGATGCCACTAGATACAAATCATGCAGGCAAGCATGTCAAATCCATATATATGAAATCATATTAAGAAAATGGGATGCGTAACCTGAATCCGATGAACTGGCATCCACAATTGGTAGAAGCTTCTTCATCTCCATCTTTGACAAGCCTAGCTCCTTGCACTTCAAAAGTCCTTCCCGAGCCTTCATCCTAGTTTAAAGAATAACAAAAAGTTGATCAATCAGTTCTATCCACATTAGCATTAAGCCCCTCTTTGACAATCATTATTTGAAAACTCTTCATTATACATACTCATTTTCAACCACATATTCACAATAAAATATTCTGCATGTAAACCCAAAACTTCTACATACTTTTTAACCACACATTCTCCTAAAAATCATTATTCAAAACTTTGTTTTTTTCCAAATAATGGTTGCCAAACAGGGTCTAAAAATCATGACACGACTGACACTGGATTTACATCCAACAGTCTCCTTGTATTGGGTATATAAACTCAAGTAGCATATCAGTAGCTGAATGCAATGAAATAGTAACCCAAACAAATTTTTACTAGCATGAAAATTCAAATTTAAGTAACAACAGACTAAGAAATCACTAATCAGTTCGTCTAACACAGGAATCGAATTTGATTCGTTCAGGTTCCAACTGAAAATATTGAAGCAACAAAAACAGTGATATTGACTATCTTTTTTATACCAATAATAACGACCAATTGGACCATCCTACTAAACTTTCTGCACAATCTATTAGGATAAAACTGTACCAGTAACAAATATAGAGAGGCATAACCACATCAAGACGCTTACCAGTTTACATTCCCCCGTAGTGTGTTTATTTCTCCATTGTGTCCCAGGACACGCATGGGCTGAGCACGATCCCAGCTGGGAAATGTGTTTGTTGAAAACCTAGAGTGTATCTGAAGAAAAATTCCAAGAGAGAGAGATAACTCAGTCTTAATTCCACCCATGTAAAGAAGATCTGGAATTTGTACACAATGACAGCGTGTTCAGGGCACTTCTACAAGTAATGCGACAGTCCCAGCAAAACCATATTGAGAACCTTAGACTACCTTGACCAAACACAGTTTCATTTCCACCATTGAGACATCTTGATCCTTACATAAGGATCATAGACCAAGGGACATAGTTTCTGCATGCAATATTTACTTCGTAATGAGGTTCCTTACCAACTCACCCAAAGAATCCATTCCGGCATGCAAAGTCAAAAGATCAAGGGTGCGGAAGAACTTAAGAGATCATTCATACTTCAATGCCTCAGAAGTCATTCCTCAACCTTGCATTGCTTCAGTTAACCGGTTGATCCCATGCTGTCCGTTGTTAAATGTGAAGTCAGCAGAGAAATAAAACAGAGAATGGAGAAAATATATTTACCAGGGCCATGTAGCTCGTAAACCTTTCATTTCCAAGATCAGCGTAGTAGTATTCCTTCAACTGATTGGGCTTCAACTGACCTTTGTAGACAATAGTCCTGCATAAAACAGACAAGGATGTCAAAAAATTAAATCCAAAAGTCACAGCAAATAAATATATTTCTCACACTCAAAAAGGACAAATCTCTCCAAGAATTAAACCTTGAGGAAAGAGAACATATATAGAAATCTCTCACGCCACCATGTTGCAGGTTTAATGCAGCTCGGATAGCTACCATTGAAACTCTTCGTAATATGTACATCTGCAAGGAAGCAGGGAAAAAAATAAAAAATAAAAAGCAAATGACAAATTTTGAATGTGTAATATCTAACAGTTTGACATTTTAACTGGATTAATTAGCAAATGTTATCAGCTCTTGGCATCCACCTGTTGCTCGAAATCAGCCTTTGACTTGGGAGTACGTGTAAGAAACACTTGCTCAATTATTGGCTCTGTCTGCAAAGCAGACTTGCCCAACCCTGAGTTATCCGTGGGGACAGGCCGCCAGCCAAGGACAGTATGCCCGAGGGATTCTGCAACCTGCAAAGTATTTTACACCAAAAAATGTCGGAAATCATAATTTATACAACAAAATCCTATTCAACCATAACTAGTTTTGATCTTCGTACAACCTTTGTGAATACAATTTTGCTCTGTTCCCTCCGACTTTGGGAAGTGGGCAAGAAAAACATGCCCACTGCATATTCACCAGGTGGAGGAAGCTCAAATCCTGCTTCCTTAGCAGCCTGATACAGCATGAACAAGAAACAATTGTCAAATTTTTAATTCAACAATCAACTCCGATCAATACAAGCCCACCGAAAATCCTTAACTTTTACTTCTTTTTTTAAAAAATTTTCCGGTTTATGATTACAAGTACAGAAGTCAACATTTCCTTCAATACTACATGAACCAGTTCAAAAACAAAGCAAAATCTACTGTAAATTCCAAACGACATTAAGAAAAATGGAGAAACAATTATCTCATAAAATTCCAATTCCCCCAGCATAATTGACAAGGAAAAAGAAGAGTCAACCAGTAATAAAGCGAAAAAATAATATGATTATGGAGGAAATTAAGCCAAAAAAACACAATATTGATCGAGTCGAACCTCCTTGTAGAAATCGTGAGGAAGAGCCACAAGAATTCCAGCTCCATCCCCAGTATTTGTCTCACAACCACATGCACCTCTATGTGACATTCGTACCAACATCTCTATAGCATCAGTAACCTATATATCATTTACAAATTAAATGTTGATAAATGAATTCCACAATGCGATATCTGTGATATAGACCAAAAAAAGGGAGTACCGTTTTACGGCTGCTTTCACCGGAGAGTTCAGCCACGAACCCGACCCCACAAGAGTCCTTATCAAACGAAGGATCGTACAGCCCGAGCGGCATCTCCGGCACCTGAGACAAAGCATTCTTCACCACCAGCTTCGGCGCCTTGCCAGGCCCTTCCGTGCGCCAAATATGCAACCTTTCCGAGCCCAAACCCGAAACGCCTCGCCGAACCACCGTTCCGGATATGAATCTGTTCTCTAAACCACCGACGTTCCTCTTCACCAACCCGCTCGAGACCCTAGCTCTTCTGTTCACCCCCACCCTACTCAACGCCGCCACCGCATTCAGCTGGTGACTCCCGCATTGCTTCACCACCAACTCACTTCCGGCGTTGCTCCTAACCTGAATCCCAGATCCCGACGCAATCGACATTCTTTACAGACAGTTTTTTCACTTATTTTTCTATTATTATTCGCCGATTTATATAGGATATAATCAATTAAGAACAACCCAGATATCTTTTAACCAAAAAAAAACTAGATCTGTCAAATTTCACACCGTTCAACTTTATATAACAACCGATTCTCCAGAGATCAAACCCAACAAGAACCGATTGTTCAAATTTATCAAAATCCAACACAACATGAAGATTTATAAGTCAATATCTTACTATGCACGGCTCAAGATTTGGTTAAAGAAGAAAAAGTCGTAATAAATAAAAAAGAACCCGAAATTATAAAACAATTCCACCAAATCTGAAACGCCGACGCAAAGTGCTGCAAACTACTATATTAACTGAGTTTTTCAGCCTGGGCTGTGTTGGATTTATACAGAAAAACCGATTGCGGTTGAAACGGACGTGGGGTCCATAAAGAGTTTTTATATCCTTTTCCTATTCAGCATTCTTGTATGAGTAATACACCTATCATAGGATGAATCACCATTCAATTTACCGGCAGTATCTTTGAGAGTAACACTCAAAAATAAGGTAGTGTTTGATTCTACGTGGAATTGCACCAAATATTGCAATTTTAGGTTATTGCAGCCTTTTTTTTTTTTTTGGTTGGCAATGAAGATAAATTTTAAGAATTATTGTAAAAAAATATTTTCCTTTAATTGATAATTTTCATGTAAAACAAAGTCAAACGAACATAAAAAGATAGATAATTTTTTTGTTTTTTTTTTTACAATGGAAATAAATTTCATCCTCAATACCAATAAATTATATCCCTTTAATTTACGATTTTCATGTAAAATAAAACCAAACGGACATCAAAAAATACTTTAATTTAAACATTTTTCACGTGAAAAATTATATCAATCAAACACAATAATTTATAATTCTTAGGAAAACAATTTCTCATCAATTCAATTCCCTGGAATTCATTTTTTTTCCACCCAAATTCCACATTTGCAATCAAACGGACCCTAAATGTTATTTTGTAAGGAAAAAAATCTACCAACAAATTAAATTATTTTAAATTCACATTAATTTTAATCTATTTTGTTGTGCTACATCGTTTTTTATATCGAATTTAGAATAATTCTTTTTCATTACGTGACTTAAAATAAAAATATGCACTTTAATCATGAGAATAAAGAATTTCTTGTATATATTCTTAAAGTCATTACGAATTTATAATACTTGTGTGTGCATATTTCAAGTCCATTTGTATAAATATTATTATTTCTTATTGTCGCTCCGTTAACAAAAAGTTATATAAACATAGTCATTTATAACTCGTTTTATCAGGTGAACCGTCAACATTGTAATATATGAAAGAAAAATCGTAGATGCAAAAATTGACTCCTTGTACATTATGACAACTACTATCATAAATATACCAAATATTATAATTTTCTTTTGATAAAGATGTGACAGCTACAAATTTTATCTATAATATGGAACATTGTGTCATGTTTATCAGTTTATGCTTGGTTATCGAGGGATCTTTCCAAAATTTTGACAGAGGCTACTTGATGACGAAAAAAGTGGAGTTTGATAATTTCAGATTATTTCCTTTTAAAATAAAATTCTTTAATTCTCGTATTCATTTTCAACTACATATTTACACAATAAAATATTTTATACATAAACTCAAAAAGATTTCTACTTTTTAACCACATATTTTCCAAAAATTACTACTAAAAATCGCTTTTTTTTCAAAATGATGGCTATCAAATGTAATTTATTTATGGGATAATTGTGTCTAGGCTCCCAAACATTTTAAAACGTTACAAATTTTATCCTAAAATTTCATTTATTGCACCTGTGGTGCTAAACCATAAATGCGTGCATCTAGAGTCCAAATTAATAAAATATCATTCATATATTTGTTGGTTGACCGAAAATTTGATTTTAACAACATATTTAATATTTTTTATAAAAGGTAAAATAGTAACTTTTTATTTACAACATTAAACAATTAAAATAATTAAATTTAAAAAACCAAGGAAAAAAACTAGAATAAAATAAAATAAAATTGCATCTTCTTCCCTCCAACCCCCTACCCAATTGCAATCGTTCACTGCCACCGATAATCGACCATCGCCCGCCATCCACCCCAATCGCAATCGCCAATGCCAACTATCCCCAACCAAAACCCCAATTCTCCAACTCTAACCTTGACCACCAACTCCAAAATTTCCCACAATAGATATAGGAATTTCTTTCCATTTTCCTCCACAAAGATACCTGCAAACCACATTATTTGCAAGTGAGACGATCTCACTCAGGTTCACTGGAGATAATGTTTTAGATACAAGGCATGGCACGCATTCACGAGAACAAGATAAAAAGTTAAAAAAATAAAAATAGGAGCAAAGTAACAAAAAATTAAAACCACAAAGTTCATCTGTCGAAACCAAAGAAGACTAGATGCCAATTTTTTGAGAACAAAACGTAATAGCCTCCAAAAAATGCAAAGGGGCTCCTAGACCTTTTTCATCAAAAGAGTTGTTTCTTCTTCCCCGATGAGATGAAAAGACTAGATTCTTTTATTGCTTAGAATCTAGAGAGCAAAAATACTTTTCATTTGTCTCCAGTATCCACCATAAGGCACGATGGCCACGTCCTTCCCACTGTACATTAATTGTAACACTTAAGTCGATTTTATAGGCAAAAATCCGGTCCGAGTTATTCACTATCTCCTTTGTTGCATCTCCGGATTGTGTGTGATGACGTCGGTGTTGGCATTGGCGTTTATGGGGTAGGTGGTGGCACAGTGGTTAGGTAGCGATTGTGATTGGGGTAGATGGTGGTGGTTGGTGGTCGGTGGCCCTGGACAATTTTATTAATTCTGGTTTTGGGTGGGGGATGGGGGTTGGTGTGGTATGAATGTATTTAGCTGTTCTATTCGGATCTTCATTTTTACTTGTATTTTCAACAGGATTAAGATTGTCTATTTGAAATTGTTCGCTTGAAATTTTTTTGAAAAGCTAATCATAGGTTCTTCTGTCTTTCGGAACAAATGGGGCCAATGAAATTTTCTTTTCTTTTTATTTATTTAGTTCTCCATTCCTTTTTTTAATTTATTTATTTTAATTATTTAGAGTAGTAATTAGAAATGTATTATTTTGCCATCTATAAAAATGTGGTCAAACTCATTTTTTTAGTCAAATTAACAAGAATATGGATGTTTTTTCATCCCTTTAGACTCCAAGTGCATGTAATTGATTTGTTTTGGACCCACAGGTACAAAAAATAAAATGTTAGAAAAATTTGCAATATTTTGAAATATTTAGGGAAGTAGCTAATAATTCCTTTATTTACTTTATTTTTTAATCTTGAAATCTCATTTGTTATATGATAAATATTATTTAATAGTACATATCAAACATTATGTTATAATTCATACCTGGACTCTGTTTGATAGGGATTAAAATTAAATTCTTAGTCATTTTTGATAAAATTGATGAAACGTATACTTGAAAAATTATGAGTTTCATGAAATATATAATTTAAATTAATTATCAAATTTGCCTTAAATTAAAATTCTGATTTTAATCCCTACTGATGTGTACAATTTATGTACGACCCGACCAAAGTGACGATAACATTGAGCACTCCTCTTGGGACAATACATCTTCTAGCTTCATGCCCTTGGGCATCAAGTGCCATTATTGCCATTTTCCCTCTCTTTTTCTAGATGGACTCAACCACCGTAGTCACAATGTTTTCCAACTATAAGTCAATAACAGTTCTACAATTTCAATGAAACTCTAATGTCCGTCTCTAATAGTACGCCTTCATCCTTCCAGGACTCTTAAACAGATAAGGCACACAAGTTATCCAACCCTACTAGAATTGCATTTCCTAATTCTATTGATATATGTCATTCATTCATCATTCAGGGATTGTTTTATATTTAGTTTATAGCCATTCGTTCATATTTTTCTTTTCACTAACTTAAGCATCGAATGGACGACAATGATATACATCGACGTTCATTTTAGATCCTGAAGGTCTTACTTGTGCTCATTCTTAATTCATCAAGTTTGAGATTCCACGACGCCGATTTCTTATGGCATTACCTACCAAACAATGATTTGTTTAATTTTGGGATTTTCAAAAATTTTAAACAGTCAAGTGACCGCTAGAAAGGTATTTCCCCCCCTGTTTGGCTCCCTTAAAATTTTAAATTATTTGTTACAGCATTAGTATCTACCACACAATCACACAATAAAATTTTTAACATACAAATCAATAAAGATTATTTACTTTTTAATGATACATTTGTTAAAAAATACTATTAAAAACTCTATAATTTTTTAAATAATGTGTATCAAACAATGGCATTATTTATTGCCACATGGAGTAGTCTATGCGGCTCGCAAGTCGCAACAGCCGCTCATGGCGGGCCCGAGACAGCGGGACGCTGACGTTAAATTAAACAAAAATGGGGTGGGGACAAAAATGAGCCGCCTCTAGGCTCGTTCCGAGCCTCCGTGGCTCGCACTTGGTAAAGATTAAACTTCGGATGTTCATGGTTAACCTTTTGTTGTTAATTGTAATTTCTAAAAATAGACAGGAGAAAAGGAAAATAAAATTGGATTTTATTGTTTTTACAAAAAATAAAGGAATCTTGAATTATATTTACTATAGACAGTGATATGACTTAAAGATACGGTTATAAGTTAAGTTCTTATTTGGTCTCTATTATTTTCAAAATACATTTTTACTCTCTTATTTTCAATCACATATTATTTAATATAATAATATTATACGTAAATCCAATTTTTTTATTCTAATCACACATTATTCGTCAAAATGTTATTTCAAAATGCATTTTGAACAAAAAATGTGCTCAAACAAACTCTAGTTCGTCCATGTCACGTCGATAATTTTATTTAGAAAAAATCATAATCACATTTTGTTGACTCGTAGCTTAATTTATAAGGGCCTATTTGAGCCACATTATTCTAAAAAAATATATTCTTAAACAGTTATTTGACACCATTTCATCCATACATTTTTCAATAAAATAATATTACACGCAGATCAAAAACTTTTCCTTATTTTTAACCACACATTTCTCATCAATACACTATTCAAGAATGCATTATTATCAAAATAATGTGGCTCAAATACCCCCTAAATTAAGCAGTCTAAAACAAGTTTGCTACTACTATTTTATTTTCGTTTCAGAATATTTCTTATTTAAATCATTTTGCGTGAAATAGGTTGAAGAAAGAAACGAGAAAATAACAAGAAAAACGTCATAACAGCGATGAAAATAGATTATTGATCAGCACTGATTAATTCATGAGGCAGACAAATGAATGAAGCTTAGGTGGGTAATATTTAATTTTCAACGAA